TAAACAAGGATAACATTTGGGGATCTTTGTACTCTTTGTATTAACAGAAACAACATTTATTGGAAGGTTAGCTAGGTGTCTTAGCTTGGTCTTAGCCAGCCTAGTTTGTAAGCAGTAGTACTGTTTGTCTAGTACCAGCTAGCAAATAAAATAGCTTCAAGTCAGTCTGTAAGGTTCAAAGCTTTGAAGCAGTTCTTGTAGTCACCTTAACAGAAAATTTGAAATGAAGATACCATGTAGAGATTGTGTACTCACAAAAAGATGCTGGATTGACATCAGCAGAGACTAAAGCCTTTTATTCACAAAAAAAGGTACTATATGGGTCACAATAACACTGCAAACCTTTCAGTACTGCCCTGCTAACATGCTTTCAAGCCAGTCCTTGCTGGACAGGCTGAGAGGGCAATGCTAATTCAGTCATCTCCTGAGACTGCCAGCAAGGATGCAAACTAATATCAATTGTGATAGAACTTATGTGATGGAGGCACCTGTCATTTCACTAGGCTAGTTTATATCTAGCACATAGCGATTGCTTATATCACTGTGACTAGTTTTGAATATTTAGCATTTTAATGTTTAAAGATCATTTAATGTTTAAAGATCATAAATGTATAAACTAATTCATTCAGGCTAGACATACACTATGACATTATAGCGTGCTATTAAAAAACTTAAAACAACCTGAATTTGTGAAATCAGATCACAAGTAATAAATAATGAAATCTTGTCACAATGTCAGGACTTCTGCAGCAAGATGCCAGCAGACATGTCAGTCAGGCTGACAGATTAAACAGCTGCTGATGCTTTTGGACACATTTGAAAATCATACTATTTAGGAACAATGGTGCTGACATGCCTTTTCTTTTTTTTCCCACTACACTTTGGATGTACTCATGAAAGCAAGTGTGATTTAAAAGTTTTACCAGCACGTGTTAGTTATTTCAGTTTCTTCAACTGCGATCATATCTCCCCTGCTCTAACTTCTGCACCAGTCAATTTCAATGTTGCAAATAGACTGTAGTGCCCATAAAGTGAAGAATTAATGACAAGTTGCAATACGCTCTTATAAAATAACAATTTTGTTTCCATGTACATGTAATGCAAACCCAAAAGAAGATGTGTTGAAAAACACAAAAGGTGTAGGGCCAGATCATCAGGTGGTGTAAATCAATGAAACATCAGTTTAAACCTCCTGAAGACCTGGTCCAAAATACACATAGAACCAATTGTAAATAGTGTTTTTAAAGTGATACAAAGCAATATTTTATAGCATTTTTAACAGTAATTAACAAAAAGATAGCTCTATAGCAGCTTTCTAAGGGCCTGAGTCTCATTTGAGAGAGCCACAAGCTGCAGCTGAATATTCTGGCAGGGTCCCTGGGTGCAATTAAGGCAGTAGAACGTACCCAGCGATCATGCAAATGTTTATAGGATTGGGTTTGAAGGATAAAGCTGTGGGATGGCTTGCAGAATTTCTAAACATAAAATCAGTCATAAATAGGGACCTACTCAAATTGAAATATTTTTTCATGGAAACTGCAATTTGAGGTGGTTTCCATGAAAACAGCATTCCTTGTGACTTTTGGCAGAATTGCTGGGTAGCAGGAGCGGGGCTTACTGAAAATAAAATGCTGGCTCCCCAGTTCTTATGGCTTCCCAGCAAACAGAGAGGGAGCTGAGATGTTGGTTGCCCTCTCCTCCTTCTGCTGCTGATTGGCCAAAAGGGCTGCCCATCATGAGGCCCCACCCCTCTGCACCAATCAGCAACAAGGGGCAAAACTGCATGAATGCCAGTCCTTTTGGGCAATCAGTGGCGATGGATGGGGCTGCCTGAAGAACAACCCTCAGCCAATCGGTAACAAGGACCAGGGCTACCGCCAGGGCCCTTAGCCAGTCAACACTGTGTATGTGTGTGTGCGGGGGAGGCGGGAGAGAGAGGGGAGCTCACTGCAAATAACACAAAAATGGCAGCAAGCAAGTGATTGGCCTGCAAAATCACCCACCTGCCTCCTTGATTTTGGTAGGTCCCTAATCATAAAACCTTACTGAAATCAGTGGAAGACAGGATTCGTCTCACAGTTATAGATGTCTATTTGTATTAAGTTCTTTTTAAAGGTACTCTCGTTTTTGCCAGTATATCTCATGTTAAACATCTGCTACAACTGTTATAAGACACAATTTGGAGTGCCTTTGTCCTCTTGATTTGCATGCCACACTTTTTGGTTGTGCGTGCATATGTGGTACAACTTTTCTCCCTTTCATTTTTTTCCGAGAGATAGTGATGAAGCCAAAATGTTTTGGTGATTCTCTATTGTCTGACGAGTCATGGATCCTACCAGATAATGTTCTTTTCACTGTATAGATCTTATTGTGCTAAATATTCAAAATTTCAGTCATCAAAAAATAAAACACAGTTAGTGCTTAGAAAGATTTCCTTAAAGTGGGCCCTTGTCTTAATAAACATGTTCTGTTCATTCAGGGTGTCTTTTTCATTACACAAGACATATAACAGGATTCCTTATAAATTTTCTGCTAAGGTACACAATTTTTTTCTAGAAAATGAAAAAAAAAAGCATTTATTATAGCGCACTGATGTTCTGTTCAAAGATCTGAATCTCACTAATGTGGAATATTGTTCCATGGCAAGTGATGGAGGTTAGAAAGGCTGTAGCTCTCATGTGCCTTGACTAACTGCAAGTAACAGGAAGGTTTCCTGTGGCAGTGTAAATTTTTGGATAGTGGTACGCACCTAGGGCTGTAAGAGACACAGAATGTCTTTGCCACAACTGCAGTTTAGTTTCTAGTAAATATTTTCAAAATTCACTGATCGGGCTGCATTCAGACACTGAATGATATGACCCCACCAAAGTTTTGTATTATGTAAATTGCTGAGCCTGGCTAGGTAGGTCTCCAGTAGCTCTTATATCTAAGATATAGAGTACTGCTTCCAGTACTTTGAGCATCTTGGGCAAGTCCAAATAGGCATCTTGGAGATTTCATTTTCACTTCTACATTCTAGGCATCTATTTTTCTTCAGTTTTCAAACCTTTTTTTTATGCTCGAGCTGCAAATAAATTGTGCCAGGAGTCTTGCAGCTGAGAGGATGCACAGTCTGTAATGCCCAGTCTATGCACTAGTAGCTAACAAAAATCTCAAACTCTTTCTGGTGACAACTTCATCAGCTTCGGCTGGACTGAGGTATGAGAGAGCCTGAGGTTAAATCAATTTTCTTCCATTGTGCAGTGCAGTGTCTTCAAGTTAAATCTAAACAATGCCGTAATATGAAAAGTCTAACCTACAGGCAGATTGCTGCTTGAACATCTGAAATACATCTTTACTCACTTGAAGCAAGGGTTCAACATACAGATGAATTTCACACAACTAATTTTCCAGAACATGCATCCTAAATGCTCCAAGATCTCTCGTGCTCCTCCTAAAAAGTCCCTACAACCTACAATTTGGAAGTTGTCATAAAACTTCACACAAGCACGGATATTATACTCATCCTGCAGCTGCAACCATTGCTCTTCATACACACAGCTGAAAATCAATCTAGACTCTCAGGAAGGGTAGTTTAAACATGAACAGTTTGGTTTGCCAGCCACATTACTAACAATCAGAATTAACAGATCAAGTTTATACATGATATTTTTGAAAGTGAAAAGTGCTATTATGGCCATCTCTTGTAAGATGTATTGTCTGCATTCACAGTGCATTCATCTGTCAGTTCAGGATTCAAGTAAGACCAGGCCACTTAAATGTGCTATTAATTTTAGCAGTCCCCAAATCCTTTCACTGTGTGTTACACATTAGTACACATCACTTTCTACTGAGGAAGAAAAACAGGTCTCTCCAAGCTGTATTAACCCACCCAATTCTCCTCCTCTCCACCATATTAAAGATATAAAAGATTTGAAGGACACTATTTTCCATAATGGATACCAACATAAGGAAACTAGAGCTACCTTAGATAGTCAGAATACTTTTTTTTGAGCTTTTTCTTTTTTCACTTTGTTTGTCCCACAACCCAGAAATATACAAAGCTGTTAGCTCAAAACAGTGGCAAATTCATGCAATTTCCGCTATGGATGTCATCAAGTTATTGCAAAACATCTAACTAGTTTTGCAGAAATTCTTCCCCTTACCTCCATTTCCTAGAAATCTCTGATTAGCTCTGCAGATCCTATAAAATATGCTGCAGGGAGCCAACAATTTTTGTAGCTGATGGTAGTGTACCAATGCTATATGCCTATCCTGGCATATAGTAAACAATTAGTTTGCTATTCAATGCTTCTGTGACTATCTTAATTTTATTTAAATGGAACTTTATTAAAGATACTGGAAAAGTATGCTTTCTACAAACCTTGCATTGTGCTGCTGTTATTGGTGATATATCCACTACTGCATGATTAGTAAGGATTTGGTAGATTTGACCTTTTGATTCTTAACTTACTCATGTTTGAGTCACATGAGTAAGATGAATGTTAGGTAGATCCCATTATGTATGGAAATTTGATTTAGTTGCTTGATCAGGTTTTTTTTTTTCAAATGCAGGAGTGAAATGGGATGTAGACATCTTACAGTCTATTTCATGCTTCATTATAACGTAATTCTAACCCCTAAGATTTCTACCATTTTCATTTTGGTAATGAAAGGAATGTAATGGGGTGTAGTTTAAAATGATCTGCAGCAATTCTAAGGGTTAAACCTGTGTAACCCAACCTTTATTAAGAGAGTGACAGGAGTGCTGGGACACTGTTAACATTCCACCAGCTTGGTAAGTTCTAAACCTGTGATTTCTGCAGGTTCCTGTGGCAGTCATGCACACTATATACCCACCCCAAATAATAGCATCCATTCATAACTACTCATTACAGCAGGGTTTGACCTGAGAAACTCTAGAATTTTGTTTCACTTTATTAACTTAGAAGGTTTTGAAACACTTATTTAAATAAAGTTTTCCCTTGACCAGCAAGGGAATTGTCAGCCTGAAGTTCTCAGCAGCATCTGGTGAGGCTCTTGGCCAAGTTCTTCAGATACTGTACATCCATAATGACAGCCCATTGGCCTTTGCCGTGGCATTTTCTTAATCTGCAGAACAGACTTCCTGGATCTAGGAAATTTAATTCCTGACTCCTTCGACCCAGATGCTGGCCAAAATGTAGTTTGCAATCTGTATGTAATCATCTGTTTTTTTCCCTAGGAACTGCCCTTGCTGTTAAATTTTTCTAAAACAGTCATATTAATATGTTCAAAAATCCACTGCTGAGTTTCAGATAAAGGATCACATCTGTTCATGAAAATCTTCTTCTCAGCCGGGTTGCAATCTATGCAGCCGTTGCTTACTGGATGGAACAAAGTTTTGTCCTATGGGAATGAGGAAGAAAACAAAACAAAACAGAATTGTAGTAAATGATTAAAATGCTGTCATTTTCTAGAACTTAGATTGATAAATCCCTGGCTAAAATGATGTTGTGTTTGATAGTAATTCTCTATGCAATAACCTGGAGTAATAAACTGAGTATTGTTGGGGATGTATAGATGGCGGAGTGGGTTCTTTGGACATTTTACTTCAGAAAACTGGGGACCTGAAAGAAACTGGAGCTGGCCTGTGGTCTTTTGATCCATAACCATACAGTGCAAAACAAAGGTAAAAATGACTTTTCAAAAATGTACATACCAAGTTCCTTATACATTCCTCATACATTCATTTCAAAATGTGTGGCTGAAAAGCTGCCTGATTTCTCCACTATATGGCTAGAGGTTCTGGAGCAGTGCATTTTAAACAGGGGTGCAGGGCACTCCTGATGGAGAGGGGATGGAAGAAATAATCACCATTTAACACAGAGTTGTGGTGGATGGTCTAGATACAGGACTGGGGACTTTTTCTAAACACAACCACCAGAAATTCCATCTGGGACTTTTAAGTCACTTAACGCTCTGACGCACTTTCCCCATCCGTATAAACCTGCTAATGGAGGCTAATATTGTCTAACCTGCCCAATGGAGATTTTGTGAGGATTAGAATGTAAGTTGATTATGAAAAAAGTATCAGTATTAACTGGGAATTACAGTTAGCTGAGTTTGGTCAAAACAAGATGCATGGTAAATGGCAAAAGATTGGTCTTTGACAGTTTGGCTTGCACTGATGAATTCCAGCTATATTGCCTCCAAGAATACACTGAAGTCCATCTTAACTGAGGGCTTGAATAGTTCTAATGTATTTGTTTATGTTCGTGTGTCTGGTGTGGGATTGACTAGATAGTTGGAAAGTTTCTGATGACAGTACAATAAAACACTTTTTGCATTTGTTGAAATAATGCTTCCAACTGCCCCAGGTTTCTCCCTCTCTGTGCCAGGCATACTTCTGCCAACAATCAGTACTAATCCAGGATGTGAACACTTGTACAGTCACAAAGAAGAGAAGAAAGAGAGCAACAGAAAGAAAATCATACTGCTAATAAATAAGTATGGTTAATAAAGCACCCTGCAACAGTGCTTGGAGAGCCGAACAACGAACATAAAACATTTTTTTCATTCGCTTAAAAAACTCCACCTTCAAAAGAAATTACAGACAAGTTGGATTTTATGGGGAGCTAGGCAGGCCTTAATTTGATATGGCCTCTATACTTTCAGTATATACAACGAACAAAACCACATTTAAGAGCATGACACCCAATTCAGGCCCTAGGAGATTTAGTGTATATCTGCATGACTCACATGTATCTTTTCCTACATAGATAATAGGAGAACGCAGTCTTTTTCTAAAGAATATGCTTTGAAGTAACAAAAAGTTCTCAAGCAGCAGCAGCAGGGCTGACAACTAGATGAGACCTGCTGGCTATTTCTGAATCACCAGTAGGCAAATTCCCACCTGGCTTCCCCACCTCAGCCTGTGTATCCTTGTAAGCAGACGGGATATTTCAGTTTTCAAGAATCCTGAACTCTAGACAGGGCTAGATAGTATTATCCAATTATTATAGGGGATGTGAGTTAGCACAAGCCCCTTAGCTGTGGTTCATAATTCTTTTTTTTTGTGGGTGGTAAGAGCAGTGGTAGCCACTGCAAAAAAGGAGTAGAGGGGATGCTCTTCACTGTCCCTGCCATGACAGGTTGACCAGCACCATGTGTCCTTGCATTCAGGAGAGCACAGTGACTGTTACTGTAGCTGGCCCCCTGGATTTTGGGAAATGACAATTTCTTATGTTCTTCCTCACCTTACAGACTTGCATGCGGACTAGCCACAACCTGGCCCCTAGTACTTCAGAACATCAGGATCCTTTGAAACTGGACTATCCTGGCTGCAAACGAGGAGAAAACACCTTGCTTCAATGGGGAAATTATGTGAAGTACAAGCATTCTAGCCTTCCCCAGGAAAGCCAGTACGCTGCTGGGTTAGTCTAGAGCTTGCTATAGGTATAATTTTTGGATTAAGCACTGCTCCTACTTCGTTTCTGAAAGGTTTGAAAATTAGGAGGCAGATCATGTCACTTCAAGAACAGCTGTTTACACTGGAAAGCTTCTTTTTGACTTAACTGTGTACTAGTGTTATCTCTACCTTTCTTTGACCTAAGGTCAGAGCTTGCTGCTGTCATTGAGATGAATGGACACAGACTCAGAACTGTAAGGGGGAACAGTAGCACATGCCCCAAAATATAATTTTCCATTTTCAGTAAGAGAGGCATAGGTATAAATCTCTCCTTCATAGTAATAATAAAGAGTGACAACAACCCTCTTTTAGAATTCAGTCCTATGTGAGAAGAATAAATTGATTTTTAAACGTCATGTGAGCAAGTCCAATTATTACTTTATAAAGTGAACCTTTTTCATAAGATAATGGACATAGAGCAGGCCTGGACAGCTCAAGGAATTGGTAACGAGGCAAGAAACCTTTCACTTTCTTCTAGGTCACTACTTAACTGTGGCCAAGGTCGGTAGTGACTGAAAGTCATTATCATCTGATGGCTGAAGTAGTTTATCTGAAATGAGTTGGTAGCCTCAGCACAGTTTCTGCTGGACAGGTGTGTACATGATAAAAACCATCATCTGAATGACACCCGCTTTGGCAGTCTCAGCAAAAGAAACTACAGACTTAATGGGCACCAGGGAGAAAATTTGCTCTCACAATTTGTCCCTGAAGTGCTATCAGGGGCAATCTGAGCAAACTGTACTGCTTTTGTACCTGTTCTGTGCAGAGGGAACATTGGTCTGTGACATAAATCTAGCAGCTTTCATAATCACTATGCTCAGAATAGAATTATAGCATAATGAATTTGATCTTTCACAACTTTTTTTTTTCAAGATGTACTAAATCAGTCCCCACTTTGGTACTTGTAGAAGTGCTACAAATGGCAGTGAAGGGCTACAGCACATAAATTGAATCATGCTGTATCAGGATTATTCTATTACTCATCCATCTGGAGTGATGCTAAAATAAAAATCGAGGGCAGGTCTCTTCCCTGGGAGAAATGGAAAATGTCAGGGTCTTTGCAGTTTCAAATCTGGAGCATTTACAAGTTAACTTTTCATGCTTATGAAATGTTTTTATCTTGAGAAGCTATCAAAACTTGAAGTTTCCTGTAATTTTAGATTATCTGTATGCTTACTTCTCTAAGAGCCCCTGATGTATCTGCCTACCTATCTCATCTCTTCTATTGCTTCCAGCACTGATATCTGATTTCTAATAGAGATTCCTCCTTTCAGTCACATTATGTATGTTGTTACTTGGGCTAGTCCTACTTGGTAACTCCAGTGTTTTGAGAGAGATGGGTATGCTGTGTTCTTTGATTAACAAAAAAATATTTTGGATTGTGCCAAAAATATGCAAATGCTTTCATGGTAAACGATTGTTTAATAATAGAATTTAATTTATAATAAAATAATAATTTACCAAGTCAGGCAACAGATTTACTGTTCAACTGTAGCATATCAGGCAATAGTGTTGATAGTGTAGGAATCAGTAGTTATTTGACATATTATTTGCCCGTGTCCAAATATTAGACATTTTGGGTAGAATTTTATATTCCCATCTGATTCAGAAATTATTTTATGGCATAAAGTAATGATAACACATGAATAATCCTACAAATTATTTCAAAAGTGGCCCGCAAAAGCAACCGATCCTTAGAGCATGGAAAACTTCCTATGTCCTAGTTTTCCAGGACCGGTTATGTCAGCATGGTAAAAACTGGCTCAGATTACGGTTTTATAAAATTAAGAACAAAAACTGAAATTGCACTTTATAGGAAACAGAAATCATTACAAGCAAGGGTGGGGGGGCACAATCAGCA